CGGGTTGAACTGAGGATGCATCTCTTGAGAAATAATAGAAGTTTCCTTGGTTGGAACAGTTCAACACAGACTGCCCTGACACAAGTAAATAAACAGTACACAGAGCCACTGATGATCTTTTTCATCTCGGAATTCAGAAGATTAGATACAGCTGGAGTTTTCCCACTTGGCTCCCCTCCAAACAGCCATACACACCTTGTTTGATAGTTATCACAAACCATAATTCAGAGAGGGTGGACAGCAAAAATTTCCTGGAGTTTATCTGGCTGCATCCTTAAGGAGATTGTTATCAGATAATCATAATCTTTTGCACAGCATTAGGAAAGTACACAAAGGATCACCTTCTGTCACTCCTGACAAACTACATCTGGGTTATGGGAAGGGAAATACTCACAGGAATTCTGAAAATAATCTCACCTCAACCTCCCCATCATGATATCACCAAGTGAAAACCTCCTTCCAATCACGGGCCAGGACTTCAAAGTTAACAGCCACATCCATGGATCATGGCATCTGGTCACCCGCAGTCCTGGAGGAGTTCAGTTTTCACTGTCTCCAAAACAGCCAAAGCCTGTCAGCACAATCATGGCACAAAAATATGGATTCATATTCCAGATATGACATACTGCTTTGGAATAGATAATTCCAAAGTGCTCGAGCCTAGTGGTTCCTAGTGAGCAGTTATGTGAAGTGCTTTTATAAACAGCTGGACATAATAGATTTTCAAGTATTACCTTACTCAAAAGCAACTCTAAAATCATCAGCCTGGGGTTCCAGCTTTGTTTTTGCAGGTACTTTTGTAAAGACCTTCCCATTTCAGTTACCTGGTTTTAAAACTGCAGCTTTGAACTGAAGCCTGAGAATCAAGTTGTGTGCTTTCCTCCTTTTGCACCACCATCTAAAGCAAAGCAAATATCCTGCCAGCCGTGTCGGTCTTCGTGAGATTTCTGTGTTATGCCTTCACCACCACCAAAAGTATCACATGGTCTTCAGAAGATTTATGTAACTAAAGATGACCATTTTTAGCAGGACTAAGAGAAAGACATAAAAAAATTCAGCACAAGTGGGCGACAGCTCTACCATGTGCAGAGATCTTACTTCTTACTTAGGTGAGATGAACTTGTAAGGTAGAGGGACTGAATTCAGAGACCACAGACCACCTTAGGAAACAATGCAATCATAGCTTCTTCTTAAGCAAGAATGAACCCTAACCACCCCAGCACTAGGTTGGGAAGAGGTTGTCACAGACTAAGAAAGTATTAGATGGTAGCCTATTTATAAAAGTTTAGTATCCCTAACACTAAGCCAGACACTGAAGGAAGAATCTTCAACTAAAATACACTTTACAAAACATTAAATGGCAGATATGTAACAAAACTGTGTGACATTCATACTCTCACTGTTATGCCTCAAGTTCATTTTACAGAAACCTGTCATATGCAATCAGACTTGTTTATTCTGAATTTAAATGTAGGACCTGAGGCAGTCTGGTTTCAAAAAAGACAGAAAAGGCACATATTGTCGCTGGCAGTTGCTTAGTTCTTACAACAAAGGCAAAGCCTTGTTCACTCTTTATTCCAAATAAAAATTATTTCAATGTTCTGTTGCATTACAATCTTGAGAGTATTTCTGCTTGCTGCCTCAGCACAGGTAGAAAATTAATTAAAATGTAAATTAAAGGAAGAAATATACGAACAAAGTGCCATTAACAAACAACTCACTGCCACTCCACTCCCCCCCCACCCCCCAAAAAATCAGGTGATTCATACAGAGTATCCTCCAAATCTCAAGTAAGCCACTGTTAATGGATTAAGTGGCAGTGTCCCTTCTGGCTTCAGTTTATAAATTCTTATCTGCTTAAGATTGCTCCAGAAAGACTTCCAGCTGACAGCGTGATTCTTAAAGAGACAAATCCTCCCTGGCAGTTTACAATTGCATACCAGCAACTACGGCATTGCATGTGCCTTCATGTTTGCACTGACAGAGGATGATGGTTCACTGTTTAGGATACAGCATCCCCTTCCTTTCAAGTCTAATTTGAAGCATCACCATTGCTTGGGCTGAGTTTCTCACTGACTTCGTCCATGACAGAGTGATGAGCATTCCTAACATCATTTCAATGGCCATTGAAACAGCCATGATAAACCACCCTCAGCTCACACAACTGCTCCAAATCACCCAAGTACAGGGGAAGGGGGCAGAGAGATTCAGCAGAATAGTGCAAGTATCAGAAAATCCTTCTACATAACAACTGGTTGCACAGCTCATCATTAACCATTTCCACTCCTCTAGACCATGCCAAAGAAGTATCCACAAGCCCAGCAAAAATGAGGGAGAACAGCAGCATCCCTATTTTCTACGCTGGTGGCTGCAAATTCTACAACACATAGAAGAAGCTGCAACAAGTTATAACCGAAATGGCTGTTGGAGCAGCACCTTCCCTCATTCCCTGCTTACAGGGAGATGTGTGAAAACCTCTACCCTCATCAGCCAGTGCCTTTGGCTGTGAAAATGACCTTAGAGAAGAGGTACCCAGGTAGTGCTGAACACACGCAGTGTGTGTGTACTGCTGCCCAAGAAAACTGCGCTCATGAACGATGGGCTATTTTCTGCTACCACCCTCCCAGCTTACAACAAAAGGGGGTAAAAAAGAGCAGAAATAGAGGAGACCTTTGGCTCTCCTGTCCACATTACAGAAATCATCCCCATCCCATTTGGTCCTAACAGGTTCCCAAGAGTTCAGAAAAGAGATGGCATCCTTTTGAGGAACAGAATAGCCACATAAACTAGACAAGGAAGCCCAAATACTCCCTGCCGTCCTCTAAACAGGACTGACAGTCGCATGCACACACACATTCATGGAGCACCCAGAAGAGACACCAAAGCAAAGCCTTCATTCACCAATAAGCACTGGGGGACTCTTGGTGGTCTTATTCCCCAAACTGTTGACCTTTGCTTTCCTAGGGTACCTTTGCCTGGAAAGACCGAGCACTCACCAGCCACCCATGGGGCACTGCCGGGGAAGAAGTGACAGTGCTGCGATCAGGGCAGGGGGCTCGCAACGCCACAGGGCTCGGGGTGCCCGGCATGGAGCCATCCTATCCCGGGGAGCACAGCCTGTCCCATGGCGCCCTGGATGCCTGTCCGGGGTACTCAGGTGCTATGTGAACCTAGTGATCTAATCCCAAACTGGCGTCCCTGCGGTACCCAGGATTTGTGTCCTGCCTGAGCGCCCATCCCATCCCGGGGTGTCCAGAGCAGCCGTCCCGCTCCGGGCTCCTTCAGGTGCCCCGGGACACCGCGCGTGCCCGTCCTGAGGGGGATGCTCAGGGTGCCG